CCGCTCCTTCCAATAGGTGTAGTTCGTTTTGTCAAACAACGGAGGCCTCGTGGTGGATTGCCCTTCACCTAAACCTGCGTATGAACTTTGAGTAGAAGCCATTGATCGTTTCTCTCAAACGGTTAAGTCTTTCATAGAATATGGCTCTGATACCAATTGTTAGAATAAAGGCCCAACGCTAGAGGGGGGGGAGGTGAATAGCGTTTAAAACAAAATCGCAGGAAATTAAAAATGAGAGCGTTAAAGTAAAGAGCGTAAAGAAGGAGCACACCGAATTTTATCCTGGTTCACCACAACGTGTGGCTAATCCAGCCTCCCGAGAGACTCTCTCGAGCTACACTAACTCCGTTAAGCTTAAGGGTGCTTAACAAACCGATACAACTTGAGAACCCGAGTCACACGAGCCTCAACGCCTTTGCTCGGAGATACCACACTCCAAGACTTCTCACGAAGGAACAAAGAACTTCCTTCAAGTATACAACAAGGGAACAACCTCCCTTAAAGTGTATGAAAACACTTAAACACTCAGGAATAAAACTCTCACAAAGAGTAGATATGAGTGAACTAGTAAACGCTCAAGAACACGACAATTTCTTCAAGAATTGGCTCTCAAATAGCTAAGAAAAATAGGAATACTTATGCAATGAAAGAGTATTGAAATGTTGAAGAATTGTGTGTAAAATGAGAGGATTTGGGTGCCATTTTATAGCCTAAAATGGAATAAACTCGTTGCTAGAATTTCCAACAGGATGAAGACAAATTTTTCAGAACTGCAGGGTGATAGTCGATTGTCTGGCCATGATAATCGATTATCAAAAGATTCCCTGTCCAAAAATTTAAAATTCTATCCATTGAAGGACAACGGTAACCCAGATAATCGATTTTTCAACCAGTGATAATCGATTATTGGTCCTCTCAGAAGATTCTGGGTTTTTGATGCAAAGGCTGATAATCGATTAATGCAGAAGTGACAATCGATTATTGCGTGCTTCAGAACTTTCAAGTTCAAAGCTGCAGAGATTGATAGTCGATTGTCACTAAGGTGATAATCGATTATCACCCAGCTAAAACTTAGCCAGCGAAAACCCGTTTTGAAAAACGAGGTCCCAAAACGAAGTTTTCCCAAAAGTAAAAACCAGGTTTGAAAAACATTGTATATGGTATAAAATAATGAAATCAAGACTTGTTTGATAAAAACCAAGTCTTCAGGGTCGTAAATCACGTGCGTACGGTTTTGACCGTTTTTCACGTGTTAGACCGATTGACCAAGATACAAAAGTGGTTTTTATAAAATAATTATTTGGGAACCTTTTAAATATGCTCAGAGGTAAAAACAAGGTTTAAAACATTGAGAAACACCGAGTTGGTTCGGGCGCCAAAAACCGAACGCCGAACCCCGAATGCCGTATGCCGATGCCGAACGCCAAACATCGAACACCAAACGCCGACCTAGGTGGTTTTGGCTCTGAGCAAGGACCAGGGATTTTAATTAAAAAATGTTTATTTTGATGCACAAAAACATTTTATGATTTTGTAAAATAATTTTGACTCTTTGAGAACCGAGACTTGAATTGATTGTCGGTTTTGATCACAAAGGACTGACTCGACTAAGTCTTCAATTCTTGATATTTTCCTTGAGTCTTTTTGGTCTTGTTTCATGCCATTCTTCACGCCTTGAGTTATTCAACGAGACTTTTCATATCTACAGCGGTTTGGCAATTATCAAAACCTGTCAGAAATGAACACGACTTTAGTTAAACGTACAAAGTGTGTTCCAACATACAAATCTAAAATAATAAGGAAACATAAAAATGTTACAACATACATCAAAAGTCAAAACTATAAGTTTTTTTTTAATTATGAGCCACAAATTAAGGTAGGCCGGGTAAGAACGGTCTGGATTCTTTGATGTTCCAATCCTATTCCATTTTTTAGAATATTCGAATATGAATATTTTTTATACCTATTTAGGGAAATACAAAAATTGTGATATTTTTGTGTATTATATCCTTATATAAATAAATAAATAAATAGATATATACATATATACGGAACAATGAGACGTAATAGAAAAATATTCATGTGTCCCGCTCCTGTCCCATTTTAAAATGATTTGGAACGGGTTCATGACATAATTTTGTCATTCCTAACTGGGTGGCACTGACGTAACCTCTTAGTCAACAAGGCTCTGATACCATGATAGAATTTAGGATGGGGTACGGACAACTGGATTGGGTAATAAGACACTTGGGTTGAACCGCATTAAAAGATTAAATTCAATCGATTACTTAGTTTAACTCTAGAGCTTATATACCGATTATTTTACTCTTGGATTTCCGATGTGGGATGTACTCTAACACTCCCCCTCAAGTGGACACCCAGACCATTTTGAATCTAACCGGTTAACCACTTGCAAATGAACTCCCATTCCCTTGACTCTTTTTTTTTAGCGCCAACACCTAAAGGACCACGAGCCGTTGGGTATGGACTTCCAGACGAGCAATCGTGTTAAACAGGCCACAGGCGGTTGGGTACAACCTCCATACGGACAACTGTGCTAAAGACTAACGGGCCGCTAGGAATGAACGTTTAGACGGATACCTTGACAAACGAGGTGGGCTAAAACTGGCTTTGATACCATGATAGAATTTATGATGGGGTATGGATAACTGGATTGAGTAATAAGACACTTGGGTTGAACCACATTAAAAGATTGAGTCCAATGGATTACCTAGTTCAACTCTATAGCTTATATACCAATTATTTTACTCTTGGATTTCTAATGTGAGATGTGCTCTAACAGTAACAAAACTAAATATTATAGAGGCGAGATCGAGATATTTCAGGTCGGGACAATAGCTTCGAGATTTTTGCCCGCCCCTAGAACATAATATGAAGACAGAAATGGTGAAGATGGTGATGGCAAGGTCAGGAAGGACAAGCCATAAATGTGTATTGAATGCACACATGTGTTTCTATTTATAGATTTGGTTTTAAAATATGAAATTATATGTAACGCCCTGAGACCCGGCTTAGTATTTTAATTAATTTATAAAATTAATTAGTTATTGGGTCAATCAATACAAAGATTTATATTCTAATTTGCATATTTAATATGGGGGTTGACATACGTTGTACGACACACTGTTCTGAACCCGACCGTGCAAACGGATTGAGAATCGGACTTAGGGTCCGTTCCGTAGGACTTATTTTTTCTACTTATTACTTATTCTTATTAAAATCAGATCAGATCAGATCAGACCAGACCTAATTAGATCAGATCAGATCAGATCAGATCAGACTCAATCAGATCAGATTAGACCTAATAAGATCAGATCAGATCCAATCAGATCAGATCCAATTAAATCAGACCAGATCCAATCAGATCAGATCAGACCAGATCAAATCCAATAATATCAAATCAAGAAAAAATATAAAAGATAATATTTATATTTTTCAAGGATTAAATAATACTCCCTCCGTCCATGTAAGATCTTCCCATTACGCGTTACGAGGCTTGACTGACTTTATTTTCAATTCAATTTAAATCATTATAGGAGTAAAATTTTAAAATAAAATGTATATAGTAATAAACTACATGAAAAATTCTACAAAACTAAAGGTGACAAGACTATATTATTTTATGAAATGACTAGTAAAAATGAGCAAACAAAGTGATTAAAGTTTGACCCTGTGAATAGTGTCTGAAAAGATCTATAGTGGACAGAGGGAGTAATTACTATTATTTGATTAAATCACATTATTTTAATTAAAACTACACACACCTAAAACTTAAATAATATTATAACATACAATAGAGAAAAAAATTTTAAAACATGTACTCCAATAAACATGATGCATCTTCCTTTATACTTTCCGAGGTAAAACCAACAACAACAACAAACGACCCAGCAAAATCTTACAAAAGTAGGGTTTGGGGAAAAACTGTACACAGAACTTGCCCCTACTCGGAAGTAGGGAGGTAGTTTCCTAGAGATTCCAAAGTAAAACCAAACATAATAAAATAGTTTTCCTTACCACCTTTCTTTCTTTACCAGCATTTTAAGGGATTCAAACATAACCCCTAAACCCGCCAAAGTGGTGGGAAATCAGCAGTCTGCTGAAAAAAGTATTGAAAACTTACCCATCCAGTTTCAGCAAATTTACTGTGGAAGGAGGCAGAGGAGAAGCCTGCAATTGCTGAAGTAAGAGTATAAATGACGACCAGAGAAGTAGAGAGAGCTCCACGGTTATAGGGATATAGAACACCAAGAAACGACAATGTAAATAAGAAGCAAATCCTGCAAAATTTGAAATGTAACTAATAATTCTCATCGTTTATAATACTCCCTCCATCCTATAAAAAAAATTTCATATATCCTTTTTGTTTATCCCAAAAAGGTTCTTGTTTATTCTTCAAGGAATCGTGTGGTTTACACAATTTCTCTTTCCCCCGTGCAAAACTCTACGTCACACTTTCACCTTTATTTATAACCATGTCCTGTCAATTGTTGAACCTTATTCTGAGATGGAAATAGTATAAAATAACCCCTTCCCTCCAAAACCAGACTACCAAACATTCCCTAGGAGAACATTAAAACAGTAAAACTTACAAAGCCAACAACTGGGTACCGGCGCCTATAATGGCACAGAACAGAGGCATATTTGGAGGACATCTGAACACATCGCCATGCAGATACTTCCACCCCACTTCCTTATCTTCCTCTTCATCTCCACCAGAAAATCTAGGCATATATCCAGCACGGAAACATTACATATAAACACAGCCATGCACACTGGTCCATAGCAAGTAGCAGTTTTAGGGCAGCATTATTATAACTAAGAATCACAACATAATATTACTTCCTAAGGTCATTCTT